AACTCAAAATAATAAAAAAATTGTTTTCGAAAACACCCCCCCACTGATAAAACTGGTCATTCACTTTATGGGGTTTTGTTTGTGGATTCCTGTAGCTCAGTGGTTAGAGCGTTTGCCTTGCAAGCGAGAAGACCTGGGTTCCATTACTGGCAGGGCAAAACATTGAGCAAGTTTCCTTACTCCACACGCCTCTGATCCTAGTAGTGAGTGGGAACCCGGTGATTAGTCGACTGGCGGATCGCTTTTCCGGGGGTAATAATTCCTTTAAAAAATAAATAATAATAATTTGGTCACTCAATCGACAACTGTTTGTAGGACACTGCTGAGTGCAATTGGCTGCCGTGTTTTGCCCACAAAATATATTGTTTGATGTGACTTATAGACTTAAAAAAAGACTTTAATGGAGTATAAATCATGCAGTACAAAATAGTTTCAAACCAAATCGGCACTGAGAAGCATAATACAACACAACAAATTTAGAATTATACACACAGAGCCTTTCAAGTCGGGAGGATATCCATTTGACAGAACGAGCTGGGGATGGGCCTGAGCAGTTGGGAAGGTGACTGAAGGCGCGGGCAAAATGGTAGGTCTCAAGACCAACCTTAATCGAGGTGAGGGAAGGAGTGATCGAAGGAACTCTGGGTTGGAGTTACAGAAAGTGGGGGCAAAAAAGGCTACAAGCCTGCCTGATAGAGTGTGGGGGACATGGTGCTCACTGAGCGAAGGGAGCAGCCAGGTGGGTAGAGCCTATTTGTGCACAACAATGTCCCATGAGCAGTCATTATGAGGTGAATGACTACCAAACTCCTAGCTACGCGTTTGGTGGATGTAACAAATAATAGTGCTTGAATTGATTGTGATGTTATATTACATTGAAACGCTTCAGATGGCAGAACATAATGAGTTCCTCAACATGTAGAGAAGTGGGATGTAACTGGGAGTTTGGTCATTCACCTCACGAGGGCTGCTGCGGGACATCACTGGATGCATATTGGTTCTGCCTTGCTTTGGCCTACAAAATACGCAGTCACAATGTGAAGCCCTTTGAAACATTTTGATGTGATGATAAAAATAATCTTTGCATTTGATATAACGCCCTTCATGTTGGGAAGCTCAAGCCGCTTAACGAGTGCAGCTTGCATTTTTAATAGGCAAACATGGCCAAATTCGCTAATTTAAACACAGCATTGTCCCACAAGCAGCCATGAAGTGAATGACCAATTTTCCATCTGTTGGTGGTGGGCAGATTATCATCAGGACATTAGGAGAAAATCCCTTCTCTTTTCGAACAGTGGATCTTTGACATCCACCTGATCAGGCAGACGGGACCTCGGTTGAACATCTCCTATGGCGCTGGGTCAAATAATAATAATCCTTGCATTTGATATAGCACCTTATCAAGCCTTTGAGACGTCTCAAAGAGCTTCACAGAATATTCTGTAAAGTGAATTGACTGTATGTCTTGTGGGCAAAATACAGGTTATATTATTCATTAAGTGACAAGATATCACAATCACACCACTGGCTGGTATGAGTTGGAAAGGCATTCTGCAGGACTCTGCTGGTTTTGTTCACTTTACCAGCTCCAAGACACTACCCTGCATGAAGAGCATGATATAAATGCAAGTTGTTGTTGATTCAAATCCTCCTGACAAAGACTTGGATTTCCTCTGCTGAATGCACTTTGGGATAAATCCCATCTTTAGAGCTCTCAGGCACCAAGCCAAGACTGGCTCCCAAACTTTAGGTCTGCTGTTTATACTCAATTTTTGAAATTTCCTTTTAACCCCTTTGTAAAATGAAACAGATACATTCTGGCCAATATTTCCTCCAAATCCAAATTCACCCTGTCCCACCCTTTCCCAAAATATTCATCAACCCAAAATATTTGCTCATATGACATTATTTATTTCCAGTCACCATCCATTTTTCAACAGAGTCATCAATTCAGGTGCCGTCTTCTTTGCAATTCAGCTAAAGATCCCATGGCACTATTCGAAAAAGGAAAGGGAGTTTCTCCAGGTGTCCTAGTCAATATTTCTCCAGATAAATATCAGTCTTTCACTTCATGCCTGTTTGTGGGACATTGCTGTGGGCGACTTGGCTGCCACATTCGCCTACAATATCCACAACCGCTACACTTTACGGTACATCCTATGGAGCGCTTTAGGTTGTCCTCCCCACCTGAAAGGCGCTAGATTATAATTATTGCCCACAAAATATACAATGAATTCACTTTACAATATATTCTGAGAAGCACTTTGAGATGTCTCAACAACGTTATCACGTTGTTGCAAATTTAGGATAATAATGATAATAATAATAATCCTTGCATATCAAATGCAAGGATTATTATTATTATCATTATTATCCTAAATTTAGTTCCTCTTGTTTTTGGTGATCAGTAACAACAGTGCTTCTCTAGTCAACTTTATCAAAGACTGTTCAACCAGTTTGAAAACATGCAGCGGGGTCTAATTTTAACTTTCTGTGTTGCAGCATAAAGAGCCTGAACTTATTAAATCTCTCTCACTGATTTAATTTATTTGCCCACAAAACACACAGTCAGTGCACATTACTGTATATCCTGTGAAGCACTCTGGGATGTCCTCGCGACTTGAAAGGCAGGGTAACAAATGCAAGGATTATTCTTAGAAAACAGCTCCCAAAATCATGGCAACCTTGATCTCTCTAATTGCACAAATGCACTCACATTGACTGAGGTTGTTCAATGCACAGAAAGTCCGTCGCACACAGAGGACAGCTCCACCCACAGCTCTTCCCAGTAGAGGAACGACAGGCATTTTTAACACATTTGGCAGAGAGTTGTGCTGGCGTGTATTCTACATTTAGACAGGCTCCCAGTTCATCTTCCCAACTTGGGAACAAGAGAGGTCCTGTTTTAGTGCCAGCTCTGGACACAGGTTCCAATAAAGCACACGGAAGCCATTACTTCTCTTGCTTTCCCCTCCCCCAACCCCTCTATATGTCATCCTATGTGAAGGATAACTCTCGAATCTTGAATCATTGTTCCCCTTCACAGTCTTGTCCTGTTGTCTTGACATATCTGGAAGTATTATTCAGGGTGTAATTTCTCTATCCTGCTCAGCTGCTTGCATATTACAACAACAAGATTATATTTGTATAGCGCCTTTCATGTCGGGAGGATGTCCCAAGGCACTGGACAGTGTACAGCATTTCAGACCCGAGCTGGGGTCAGGGGGGGGAAGGGAGGGGAGGGGAAGGGGGGTGACCGATGGTCAAAGAGGAGGGTTTTGAGGCGGGACTTGAAGGAGGCTAAGGAGGGGGTGAGGCGGAGTGATTGGGGATGGAATTCCAGAGGTTGGGGGCAGAGTGCCTGAAGGCTCTCCCACCAATGGTGGGGCGGGTGGGTCGGGGGACGTGGAGCAGGCCGGAGCCGGCTGAGCAGAGGGAACGGACGGGTTGGTAGGGGGTTAGGAGGTCACAGAGATAGAGTGGGGCGAGACCATTGAGGGCTTTGTAGGTGAGGACCAGGATCTTGAACTGGATCCTCTGAAGGATAGGGAACCAATGGAGTTGGGCAAGAATGGGGAAGATGGGGACACGGAGTTTGGTGCGGGAGAGGACATGGGTTGCAGAGTTCTGGATTATCTGTAGCCTAGTACAGGCACAAGGGCTGCATATCCTTCAGATGAGACGTTAAACCAAGTTTCACCTTGTCTCCTGCCTACAACCCACTCATGCCACAGCAAACATTGCTGTATGCAAATTGGCTGCCGGATTTGGCTACAAAATAAAATCCTATAATTTACAATATATCCCGTGAAGTGCTTTGTGACATCTAGACAACATGATTAAGAGCTGTATCAAATGCAAGAATCATAGAACCAAACAGCAGAGAAGGAGGCCATTCGGCCCATCATGTCTGTGCCGGGTCTTTGAAAATGGCTATCCAAATCAATCCCACTCCCCTGCTCTCTCCCCATAGCCCTGCAAACTTATCTTCCCCAAATAATTATCTACTTCTCTCTTAAAAGTTGTTATCGAATTGGCTTCCACCACCCGTTTAGGCAATGCGTACCAGATCTGAACAACTCACTACAATTTTTCTCGTCACCTCCCGTCGGTTTCTTTTAATAACTACTTTAAATCGGTGTCCTCGGGCGACTGACACCCACCCACCAGGGAAATAGTTCCTCCTTGTTCACCCTATCGAATCCCCTCATAATTTTGAAAACTTCTATTAAGTCTCCTCTTAACCTTCTCTGCTCCAAGGAGAATAATCTTAGCTTCTCTATCCTCTCCTGATAACTGAAGTCCCTCATCCCTGGTACCATCCTGGTAAATCTCCTTTGCAGCCTCTCCAATGCCTTGACATCCTTCCTAAAGTGTGGTGCCCAGAACTGAACCCAGTCTCTCGCTGAGGCCTAACCAGTGTTTGATAAAGGTTCATCATAACTTCCTGACTTTTGTATTCTATGCCCCTATTTATAAAGCTTAGTATCCCATATACTTTTTTAACAGCTTTATCTACCTGTCCTGCCAACTTCAAAGATTTACTTATATGAACCCTCAGGTCTCTCTCTTCCTTCACCCCCTTTACAATTGTACCATCAGCTGATATTGTCTCTCCTCATTCTTCCACCCAAAATGCATCACTTCGAATTTCTCCACATTAAACTTCAGTAAGAATTATTACTATTTTAATTATTATTATTGTAAGTTGGAACCAAGTCACGTAAAGAATGGAGGAGGTCAGGGTGAAGGACTCATTTAAGAAACTTGATGCTGTAAATGGGAAGATAGCAAGGCAGATATTCTGATAGAATGAGATCCAATGAGCCTGAAAGACTTTCTTCGCGTGCACCCCCTCTCTCGTGATCTATTGCATCGAGACCCATCTGCTCCCACTAGATGTCACTACTCATTTGTCTTCTGAAATGTGATCGTTTGCAAGTGACTCCTTCTTTACAGACATCGAAAGACTACGAGGCAACAAACGGCGAGATTCTTACCCGTTTCCATTGCGTTTTCCATCTCTGCTGCCTCCAGCCCGTCCAGGCTGTCCTCATCTTCAACAGCTGTCTTCCCCCTACTCCGAGATCTGCCGATAACACAGGAAAGGAAAAGGCACCAGTTACAATACAACACACATTTACTGTAGGGAGACCTGCAGCATAGTGGTTAGAGCACTTGTCTCGCAAGCAAGAGGACCCGCGTTCGATTCCCAGGCACGGCAAAACCTTAGGCAAGTTTCCTTACTCCACACCCCTCTGTTTACCTAGCAGTAAGTAGGAATCCAGTTGTTAGTCGATTAGCGTTTCAATCCACATTACAGTATATTCTATGAAGCGCTTTGAGACGTCTCAATGACATATGCCAAATGCAAGGGTTATTATTTACATTTGTACAGCTCCATTCATATCGGGAGGCATCCAGGGCACTTAACAATACCCTGGCTTTGCACCTGAGGTGGGGGACAAGGGAATAAAGGAGAAAGATGACCGAAAGTGTGGTCAAGGATTATTCATTAAACAAATGGAAGACACATAGAGCTTCTACTCCATGAACTCATGCCTACTTAACATTTATAACATTGTGACAATCCTTGTTTTTAAACAACAAATTGTCCCAAAGACTGATATTCATCTCAGAGGGGTTGCATCAATCCAGGACTCTACAATACATTTATACAGCACTTTTCATGTCAAGAGGAAGTCTCAAAAAAACTTTACACAGATGGTTGAAGCTGCATTGTCAGAGGTTTTGTCTTTCTGATAATGGAATGTCAGATTCCAGCCAGCCCTCTGTGACGGTCTTGGTAGTCCTGTTCCTGAGCCTGGTGGGTCCGCAGTATTCCAGGGCATCGGTAGCCCCTGGAAGGGCAGACCAGTCCTTGGGGGCAGGGAGTCATCCCACTCAGCTCCTGTTAACCCTGCAAGCCAAAGCCCTAACGGGTAGGTTGGTCCTGGCTGGACAAACAGTGGGAAATCTTGCTGGACAGCAATATCAATGGCAAGCAATAAGGTTTTAGCTGGTTAGACTCCAGCAGTACCCCAGCGCACACTCTGGGATCCTCAAGCCTGGACTCTTGCCAACCTGCGCCTAATACTTTCTGGAATTAGGTAAACAAATGCTTCCCTCCAAAGAGAAAGTGCACATTCCATTCCAACAATCTATCTCTGGGATTTCCACGTGTAGGTGGGAATTCATGGAAACCTCAGCTTGGTTTGGATACTCTTAAGGTGATGGGTTTCGGCATGTGTCAGACACCCAGTTGACCAAAAAAAAGCACCATTTGGAAAGGGAGTTTCTACCGGTTTCCTGGTCAACAATCCCCTCAGTTGAAATTGGTCATTCACTTCATGGCTTTTGCTATGGGTTCATGGCTGTGCCCAAATTGGCCCCTGGTTTGCCTACACAAGGTAGTCACTGAACTTCATACGAAGTTTGTGAATTGCTTTAAGATGTTCGACATTATAGGAATAATATTAACACAATAAATATGAATTATTATAAAAAATAAGAGCCTTTTGGTTGAAGTCTGCTCTTTTGCCCATTTGTTCCCATCAACAACTTGCATTTGTATACAGTACCCTTCAGCAAGATAGCGCTTTCCAGCATCCTTCCAGCAAACCCCCCGTCCTCCCATTACCACATCACGTTTTCTTCTGACACCGCTGTCCCAGCCGTCTCTGCCACGCTTCGGTACTGGCCCTATGTTAGTGCAAGCTGCTGTCAATCTAAGGAAGCGTAGAAAATTGAAGGAAGCACAGAATTCCTGGAAGAAAATATTTAGCAAAAGCTGGAGCTTACAGTACAAAAAGCACCCAGCAGCACAGTCAAAAGCAATGCAATGCACGTCTCCAGAATGTACAAAGGCCAGTGTGCTTTTTTCCCCTAGCTTAGCACCTGTAACCTGAAATAAGATCTTCATTTATTTTCTGTCATATGTGGCAGGATCGATTACCCAGCTCAATTGTCAAAAGCGCTCAGGTCAAACACGAAGCTCGAGCAAGTCTTCAAATACGATGAATTAATCCATGAAAAACGCATCCAGTTTATAGCTATTAAATGGGCGTTGGCATCTCATCCAGCTACCCAATTCTGTATTCTATAATCATTAGCCTTGCCTTGCACAACAACGACAGCTTGCATTTATAATGGCGTCCTTCTCACAGAGTAGCATCTCAGAGCGCTCATTACATCAGTTTGACAAACCACCTTATCACACAGTCAAAGTATCTCCAAGCTCCTTATAGGATTTTAAGTATAGTGACTGTGTATTTTGTCGGCCGACACGGCAGCTGTTTTACACACAGTAATGTTCCACAAACAGCCATAATAATAATAATCCTTGCATTTGATATAATGCCTTATCACATCAATTTTATCTGGGGGAATGTCGATGGGATCACGGTTCACCTGAACATCTCTGAAGGATAGCACCTCCAACAACGCAAGAGTCAGCCTAGACTATGCGAATATTTAAATATCCAGTCATGGGACTTGTACCCACAACTTTTCGACTCAGAGGTAAGATTATCTACCAATTGAGCCAGGTTGACACACACAATCATGTCAATGCATTTCAAAGCACTTTACAACAATTCCCCTCGAGTGCAGATTCTATAATGTTGCCACTTTGCAAAAGTAACGCTCCACAAACAACCATGGGGCAAACGGCCAATTTATCTGGATGACTGTTGCATTACTACCCTTCTGCCCCGCCATAGAGCTCACATCCCACTAGGAGCTGAAACCCACAATTCAATGACCGAGAGGCAAAAGTACGACCAACTAAGGTAAGCTGATACATTGGTGTGGCCTTATACCAGGTCTTTGTATAGCATGACAGATTTAGGCAAGCAGGATGTTTTCCCCACAGGGATGGAGTGTGCATTCCATTACAGACACAGGCAAATTTCCATGCATAGCTGACACACATATATGGAACTCTTGGTCTGGTTTGGACACTGTTAAACACGGTGAAAATTTGTCAGACCAAATAAAAAAGACACAGTCAGCCTGAGTCAAAAAATGCAGAAACCAGTCTTCAAACCATTCTCTGGTTAAAGGTTAAAGTACAAAATGAGCTTTCCCCCTCTTCCACACTGTTAACAGGCTCTGCATCAAGCAACAGCTTCACAAAACAACAAAAATAAGCTTCAAATCTTTGGTACACATGTGACATCAACATTGATTTGATGACCTGGAAGTCAGCTTTTTTTAAAATGAGCCGGTCACCGTGCAGGAATAATAATAATAATAATAATCCTTGCATTTGATATAGCGCCTTATCATGTCATTGAGGTGTCTCAAAACGCTTCACAGAATATATACTGTAAAGTGAATTGACTGTGTATTTTTAGAGCGAAACCTGGCACAGCAGTGTTCCACAAACAGTTGTGGATTGAGTGACCAATTTATTATTTGCGTAAGGTTTTGCCTGCCTGGGAATCAAACCCAGACCCTCTCCCTTGCGAAGCGAGTGCGCTAACCATTTTACTACAGGACTCCCCATATGCCTATCAGATCCTGGATGTCAGTCCAGAACCAAACAGAGTCTGTTGCTCACAGGAAGTGAGCTGAGCACACGCACAGTGAAACCAGCTGTTGTGGCCTCATTACAAGGCAAGCTGAGATTTTACGGACTCCCTACCATCACCTTATAACTAGCCTGCACAGTACTCAGTTCAAATTAAGAGTTAAAGGTAGGAAAGGGAGCTTCTCCCAGCATCCTAGGCAACCACCACCCACCCCCCGGGGAGAATTAGATGTCGTCGGTTAAAATTAGCCATTCACTTCATGGCTATCATTCTACTTGGAGACATTCTCCTGATGTGAAAGGCACTACTATATTGAATACAAGGATTAGTATCATTTAGAACCCAGAGAGCAAGGAACCATTCTGAACAATCAAAAAAAAGACAACGTTAACCATTTCATTTCTCTACAGTACTAAAAAAAGACATGCAAAGGCAGAAATATTGTACGTGTGACATAGGGAGAGTGGCAGAGGGAAAAGCAGGGGTTGGAAGAGCCCTTTGTTCCTCACATTTAAAACCCACCTTAAGACCTTTCTTTTTGACTGCACTTGGCAGATCACAATCCAGGGTTAATAATTCCTAAAAAAAATGTGGTCATTCAATTTATGACTGTTTATGGGACACTGCTGTGCGTAAATAGCTGTTGCATTTCACCCACAAAATACACTTTACAATATATTCTGTGAAGCGCTTTGAGACAGCTCATTGACAAGATGAGGCACTGTATCAAATGCAAGGATTATTATTATAGTATTTGAGAATTGCAAAGTTTACACTCTAGGTCCAAAAATCACATTAATTAAATGAATCCGATAATTAAGTCTGCAATGTTATGGGTGTCTTGACCTAAACCGGAATCAGAAGCACTGTACGCTTGACGGAATGGTCAGTCCAAATTTTACAGATCTTGGTGGAAAATCAAAGCCAGAAGGTTTTGGTATTTATAAATCGTAGGTGATCCCATCGGGAATTCCATAGCTTCACAGAAAATAGCAATTTGGAGTCTGTAGAGTCCTGCAGCATATTGCTGAGAGCCCTCGGTTCACATGCGAGAGGACCAGGTTTCGATTCCCGGACAGGAAAAAACATTAGTTCCCTTACTCCACACGCCTCTGTTTACCTAGCAGTAATTAAGAACCCAGTTGTTAGTCGATTATGGATAATAATCCTTTCAAAAATAAAATTTTAAAAATATAATAATTTGGTCACTCAATCCATGACTGTGTTTGGTACAGCGCCTTTCACATTGGGAGGATGTCTCAAAGCACTTTGTAGGATTTACTGTGTTTTGTTGGTAGCGCAATTTGCGCATCAATGTCCCACAAACAGCCATAAACCGAATGACCTACTATATCTGGGGGATTATTGGCCATGACACCGGAGAAACTCCCTTCTCTTTTCGAATAATGGATGAGTGCATTTTGCCCATAAAATACCCAATCAATTCACTTTACAGTATATTCTGTGAAGCGCTTTGAGACATCTCGAAGACATGATAAGGCACTATACCAAATGCAAGGATTACTATTATTTTGCAGAGAAACCATGGAGCCAT